TATCAAAACTGTTTAATATTCACCTTATATCAGTGTTGTATGCAGTTATGCATAAATACAAGTATTCCATATTTTATAATTTATTTTGAAATATGTGGTTTAACTCTTACAAAAAAAATTAATTTTTCTGATAAATGTTATTTGTACTTAAGTTTAGCCTCTTTAGTGTTGTTTAAAATATCTAACCACATCAAAAATTTACTAGTGTATCCTAAATTTATTTTCATGGTACATGGCATTAGTTATAATTTTTCAACGAGTAATTTAATAAAACTTCATATACCACGTAAATAAAAAAACTAAACTCTATGAAATTTTTATATTCTAGAGAAATTGGCACAAAAAGTGTCAGACATCCTTGATCTTCATCATATATCTGTGTTGGATGCATCTACACATTATAAGATTTATCATATTTTATAATTTATCTTGAAATACCCTACAAAAAGATAGAGTTTTTCGATAAATGATATATACTGAAGTTTAAGCTATTTTATTTTGATTAAAAAATAATAATTACATTATACATTTTATTAATGTATGTTAAATTTATTTTCATGTTACATGGACATCATTTCTAATATTTTAATGAGTAGTTTAATAAAATTTCATATTCCACCTAATTATGTGGTCTAACTTCTATAAATTATGTAATTTCTATAGTGACATGGATAAATAAGGTATCAGAATTTTTTAATTTTCATCATATGTCCCTGCATGATGAAATTATGGACTAAAACAAAATATCATATTTTCTAATTTATCATATGAAAATATCTCGATTTTTCAATAATTATTAAATATATTAAAATTTAGCCTCATTAGTATTCTTTTAAAATACGTAACCACACTCTAAATTTATATTCATGTATGCTTAACATATTTACATGGTACATGAACATCATTTCTAATTTTCAAATGAGTATTTTCTTTTCAAAAAAATTAGATACGTCTTAATTAGTTGACTAACCCCTATATAATCTCTATTTTCTAGAGAAACGAGAACACCTAAGGTCTTAAATCTCTTCAATCTTCATACTTTGTCATTGCATGATGAAGCTATGCATTAAAACAAAATTACCATATATTTTTTTAATTTATCTTGAATTATGTGAGTTAACCCCTACGAAAAGATTATTTTTTTTGATAAATGCTATTATAATATTTAGCCTCTTTAGTGTTGTTTAGAAATACCTAATCACATTATATATATATATATATATATATATGTTAAGATTATTTTCATGGTACATGTGCATCATTTCTACTTTTCAGTGAGTAATTTATTTAAACTTTATATACCACCTAATAAGTGGATTTATTTCAATAATAACTCATCTTTTCAGGAGAAACGAGAACACCTAAGGTATCAAACCTCTTTAATATTCATACTATGTCACTGTATGATGGAGTTATGCATTAAAATAAAAAATCTCTTTTATATAATTTATCTTGAAATATGTAGGTTAATTCATACAAATACACTGCATGATGGAGTTATGCATTAAAATAAAATACTATTTTATCTAATTTATCTTGAAATATGTAGGTTAATTCATACAAAGAGATATAATTTTACAATAAAGGTGTCAGACATCCTTAAACTTCATCATATATCTATTCTGGATGCATGGATGCATTAAAGAAAAGTATTTTATTTTATAATTTACTAGGGTCGACCCGCCCTACGGGCGGGATATACTTTTCTTTTGATCTAAATTACTACTTTTCTTTTAACTCAACAATTAGTTATCATTAACTAAGTCAATGTCATACAAAAAGCTTATCAGCTTCCACAAAAGAATTCAACCATAGAGACACAATAGAATACAACTTAGAGACAAATTACTATTTTTATATAATTTTGTGGTTTGTTGTTTAGGTTTACATATGCAAGAGATGTATATGATAACTTTTTTTGAGAAAGGATTATATGTGGTAAGATATGTTTTGCTTATCTACAATAGTTATTTCTATTATAAAGAGTTATGACATTGATATGTTGTGAGAACTTCAAATGATCTCATGTTATTTGCTTGAAAAACATTTGATTACATATTCGATGTCAAAATAGTTTATGTTTTTCTTAATAATAATTCTTGTATAGCTTAAGTAAATATTTTGTAATTAATCTCATACATTGACTTTTAGAGTCATTAATCTGAAGTGAATAGTTTTGGAAATTTCAAATCCTTTATGTTACAATTAGAATAAAAAGAAAAGAAAAACACACTTGTTAAATATTTAATTATATGTTTAAAAAGAATCTTGAACACCAATCCTTCATGAAACTTCTATGTATGCAGAATCAAGTAAATTATATTTTTCTTTTTGAAATAAAAAAAATGTCTTTTAACTTTTCTACACTATCAACACTGTGTATTTTATAACATTTTTTTCTAGGTTAAATTCAAAAGATAGCCTTAGAATACTAAAACGGAATGTATATCTTTGATTCACTTTTCAAGAAACATGCAAGTCAAATGAATTACATTTACTTACTACGGGTTGGTACATAGGTGTATTTGGTTTAACAAATGTTTTTATTGGGACAGATTTGATTATATATGTGGCTTGAATTATTATTTTCATGATTACCATTTTTATATTCTTAAATTTTTGGTTAAAATGATTTGACGTTGAATTTAATCAGATGGTTGCGATATTCAGGGGAATGTGTTCTTCTTAATTTTTAGTATCAAACTTTATTTTTAAATCAGTATCAAATTATACTATTTTTTGGAATTCATGACGTATATACATTTATTTGCATATGATATCGTTAGTCTTAATTATATCATGAAAACAATATTGATTTAATTTGTTAAGTTTAATTTTGCATTTCATATATCTTATTATGTTAACTTTTTGTTATTTTTTTCTTTAGATCTAGTTATTTATATTGTAAAAAAAGTTATGTCCATACTTTCACAGAAAATAAAGTGAAAACAGAAAAAATCACAATTTATACATTGGCATACTGTATTACTTTTAACTTTTTAGCTAATTCTATTTTGGTCACTGTACCGAACATGAAGAGACAAAGATGGCTAGTCATATTTTATCTATCTATCTATATATATAAAGTATAGTTTCCTCCATTCTTATAGTGCCATGCCATTAAATAGTTTACTCTCTTTTTATAGTGTTTTGTATAAGGTTTCCCAAAATCTAAGAAGATAGAGTTCGGAGAATGAGAGATGAGAGGATAATGTACAGGATGAGAGCATTCCTTTTTACATATGAAGATTGACGACAGAAATTAAGAAGGCAAAGGCAATGAATAAGGAATTGTTGTAAGAGTGGATGTTAAGATGGTCGTTAATGACTACCATTGATTTAATCTCGTAACTGTTCGAATTCTCTTACACAACGTAAAGAAATGCATTCGAAAAAACACGACCAGTTTATAGCTCCAGAAATCAGTCGTAAAAAAGTAGTCTTCCATCATCTTTAACAAATTCTATGGTCGGTAAAGCTGATAGTAAAAAGACGAAAATCTTAAAAAACCAAAATAGATTTAGTTAAAGACGAATAGGATTATGGACTTGATTCGTAAAGCCCACATATAAAACCAAAACATACAATTTTTTTAAAAGACACATATCACTATTACATAAACTTAATTAGTGAGGTGGCAATCTCAAAAGATAGAAAACTTTACTTTATATAATAAGATCATGTTGATTTTGACCCTCTTTGTTTTAATTAATAGAATTAATTATATGAATATATATATATATATATATATATATATATATATATATATATATATATATATATATATTATTTAATATTTTGTATTGTGTACATTTAAAATATCTATTTATCTATTTATACTATTATTTACAGATTGATTTTTTTACATTAGATCTCATACATCAAAAGTTAGATTGGTTACTTTGGTTACTGTCTTTTTGACCCATAAGCATAACTATATTTATTACTATTTTTATTTAAAATATATTATTACCTTTACAACTACAGCATGACACAACACAAATATATTATCTCTATAGTTTTCGTTGTTCTCATTCATCCAAGTCGTCTTGGTTTTAGTTTTGTTTCATCCTCTAGGTTATAAGTTACACTGTTTGTTTTGTTTGCTAGCATTCCCTTCTCCACTTTCATGCTGATATCAGATGTTCTCTTTTCAGGGGTTCAATCATTTAATTCAGATCAAACATATTACTGGTTAGAGATGCTTGCGTGAAGGGTAATATCAACAACAACAAAATTTGGTTGTGTATTATTTTTTTGTGTGTTTCTTTCATTACGTCAAGATATTTTTTGGGTTCTGACATCTATTTAGATTTCTTCAGTGCATGACTATATCTACTCTTTTATTGTATTTTTTATTACGTTAAATGGTTTTGTAAATTCGAAGTATATCTTCTATGTCTTACGTAATGTATGGATGGTTCATTTCTTATTATTCAACTTGGATTTTTTTGTTTGTTCTTTTGTGCAGTGGGAACGACTCAGAACCATTAGCAGTCAGTCTCTGTTATCAGTCGCTGTTATATTTGTATATATTTGTCTCCGTTCAAGTTTCTTATGAGAGGAAAATGTAGATGTTGCAACTGATGTATTAATTGAGGTTCTCAAGAAAAAGAAGTAGAATCACCATCAGGACGCCATAACCAGGTGTAAAACCACATGGTGCCAGCCTTGACTACGTAAATTGTTCATGTCTCATCCATACTGCGCATATGTACATTTCTCTATCGAGATTAGCATGTCAAAAAATTGCTTCTCTGTGGTAGAGTACTTAGGCTGAGGCTCAGTCACTCTGCAGAAATCATATAACACATCTAAAATCTAATAAAAAGGTTGTTTGCAATGACCATAAGTCCTTTATTATATAGCTGACTTGGTAGAAAATCCTTCAATGTTTCCTCCATCACAAATGATGTAGACATGAGCAGATTGATCTTTTAGTGGACTGGAAATTTCATTAACCACGGTGTATGCTATGTTTGATATGAGTTCATGGTTTTGCAGAAGCTCAAAAAATTGTTATTATCTATAGTTTAAACGGAGACATAATGAGCTAAAGTTTTGTGTACTTACTGACCTCACGTATGCGTGAACATGACTTGAGAAAAAAACATCTACTTTATTATTGACAAACTATGGCTCATACATGACTCTCATGGTTTCATGGGAACTTACGCAGTGGTTTCTTGGCTACCACCTTGAGAGCCAGTGCTGTAGAAGATCCAGCTGGTTTACCAGCGAGTGACTGAGTTCTCCGAAGTCCACCGGTAGCATCCAAGAAGACTTTGAACTGAGCAGCCATCATGCCGTACCTTGTTGGGAATCCAAAGACGAACCCATCAGCTTCAATTAATTCGTTAGGTGTTCTGATTGGTGATTCACTCTTTGGTGGTGTGCTCATCTTAGAGAGTGCTTTTTCTGGAAGCGTCTCTGGTACCTGTGAAACAGCAATTCATCAGGGTCAACGATTCACATGGATTTGTGTAGCGAAGCTTAACTATATCTTGTGAACTGGAAATTCCTGTATCACAAAACATATAAACTAAAACTGCAACACAGGTTGCTAAAAAGAATTCACAGCAAGAATATCACTAAAACGACGTGATGCCATAAGAAGAGGTCAGACCTGAGATTTATGGAACTTGAAACAGTTACTAAATAATCAAAACATATATCTTTGTTAAACAATCTGGAGGACAAATGATAAAACTTTGGAGGCCAATGTTTCATCTTGTTATGCCAATGACCCGTTCAGCTGTCCATAAACCAGCTAACCAACCTAGACAAAAAAAAAAAAATAGAATCTAAACTTGCTAAGCTAAAAGAACCCATCAGCCAAGAATCGAAAATTAAGAAACTTGGATAATGGAATACATGATTGGTATCTACATATCAGAATCAAATCAACATACCCATTCCGATCATGGGAACTCCTACATCGATGTTGATTGATACAGCCGCAATCGTTGTCACTGTCACATATCGAAGTTAAATGAAATTGCTCTCCGATCACTGTGAACAAAAAAAGGAATCACAAACGCGAATTTTGAATAAACATATGACATCTAAAATGAAACCAAATTAACTCAAAATTCAGGAGATGGTTCTCATAGTAGGAAAGCTTACATTTTTATTGTGGCAGTTCCATCTCCTTGCATGAGGGAAGATCGTAGATCGTGGGTGATGGCTTGGACGAAGAACCCTAATTTTGCAGGAAGCAGAGAGACGAAACACTGATTTACTCGTGAACAGGCCTTGGACTAAACAAAGGTTGGGCCAGAAAGTCATAAAGTCCATATGACACGTGGTAGCATGGAGAGAATCTATTATCCAACGTGGACGAACGTGAGGGATTAGAAGTCAACTTTATATAATTAGATTTTGAAATCTGTGGGTTAACCCCTACAAAAATATCGAGTTTTCCGATGAGTGATATTTACTTAAGATTAAGCTTTTTTATGTTGATTAAAAATACCTAATCATATTATAAATTTATATTAATGTATGTTGAACTTATTTTCATGGTATATGAACATCGTTTTTAAGATTTTAGTGAGTATTTTTTATTAATTTTATATACGACAATTACTGTAATAACCCCTATAAAATTTCTATTTTCTAGAGAAATGGGAACACCTAAGGTCTCAAACCACTTTAGTCTTCATACTATGTCAGTTCCTGATTCAGAGATGCATTAAAATAAAAATACCATATTTTTTAATTTATCTTGAAATATGTGGGTTAACCCCTACGTAAACCTTGAATTTTTCTATAAATACTATCTATACTATTTAACCTCTTTAGTGTTGTTTAAAATACATAACCACACTCCAAATTTATATACATGTATGCTAAACTTATTTTCATGATGGGAAAATTTTCTAATGAATAATTTATTTAAACTTCATATACCACATAATAAGTTGATTAACCCCTATAAAAACTTCATTTTATGTAGAAACGGGAAAATCTAAAGTTTTAAAACTCATTGTTCTTCATACTATGTCAATGCATGATGCATCATTAATTAAAACAAAAAAACATATTTTCTAATTTATCTTAAAATATGTGGATTAACCCTCTATAAAAAGACAAAATTTTCTGAGAAATGTTATACATAAGCCTCTTTAGTTTTGTTTAAAAATACATAATCATATTAAAAATTTATATTAATGTACTTACGTTTATGTTACATGGGCATCAGTTCTAATTTTTAACCGAAGAATTTAATAAAATTCATATACCACCAAAATAAATGAACTAAACCCTATGAAATCTCTATTTTCTAAAGAACTTTGGAAAACTAAAGTATCAAACCTATTTGATATTTATCATATATCAGTGTTGGATGCTGATACACATAAATACAAAACTTTCAAAATTTTCTAATTTATCTTGAAATATGTGGGTTAATCCGTACAAAAAGATCGAGTTTCCGATAAATGTTATTTGCACTTAATTTTAGCCTCTTTAGTGTTGTTTAAAATATATAATCACATTAAAAACTTATACTAATGTATCCTAAATTTATTTTCATGGTACATGGGCATCAGTTATAAGTTTCCAACAAATATTTTAATATAATTTTATATACCACGTAAATCAAGAAACAAGACCCTATGATATCTCTATATTTTAAAGAAATTGGGACAGCAAAGGTGTTAGACATCCTGATCTTCATCCTATATATGTGCTTATGCATTTATGCAGTAAAAGAAAAATACTATATTTTCTAATTTATATTGAAATCTGTGCTAACCCCTACAAAAAAATCGAGTTTTCCGATAAATGCTATATACTGAATTTCAAGCTATTTTATGTTAATTAAAAATACCTAATCACATTATACATTTTTATTAATGTAAGTTAAAGTTATTTTCATGAAACATGGACATCGTTTCTACTATCTTAATGAGTAATTTAAAAAAACTTCATATTCCACCTAATTATGTGCTAGTCCCTATAAAATATGTAATTTCTATAGAAACATGGACAACTAAGATCCCAGACCTCTTTAATTTTCATCACTTCTCACTGCATGAAGAAAATATGCATTAAATAAAATATCATACTTTCTAATTTATCTTACGAAAATATACAGCTTGTTTTCCAATAAATGGTATATATACTAAAGTTTAGCCTCATGAATATTGTTTTCAAAATACATAACCACACTAAATTTATATTCATGTATGCTAAACGAATTTTAAACAAAGTACTGGTTGAAAAATTAGAAATGATGCCCTCATATCTTGTAAATATGTTCTAGAGAAACGAGAACACATAAGGTCTTAAACCTCTTTAATCTTCATACTATGTCATTGCATGATGCTTATATGCATTAAAAAAAAATATCATATTTTTAGTTTATCTTGAAATATGTGGGTTAACCTCACGGAAATATTAAATTTTACGATAAATGCTATCTATAATATTTAGCCTCTTTAATGTTGTTTATATATATGCTAAACTTATTTTCATGGTATATGGGCATCATTTTAAATTTTTCAGTGAGTAAATTATTTAAACTTCATATACCACCTAATAAATATACTAAACCTTATAAAGATTCTTCTTTTCGGGAGAAACGAGAACACCTAAGGCATCAAACATTTTTAATATCCATACTATGTTACTGCATTATGGAGCTATGTATTAAAATAAAATACCATATTTTCTAATTTATCTTGAAATATGTGAGTTAATCCCCACAAAAAGATCTAGTTTTCCGATAAATGTTATATATACTATAGTTTATCCTTTTTAGTTTTGTTTAAAAATACCTAACCAAATTCAAAATTTAAATTAATGTACTAAAATTATGTTCATGTTACATGAGCATCAATTTAACTTTCAACCGAGGAATTTAATTAAATTCCATATACCACCAAAATCAATAAACTAATCCTATGAAATCTCTATTTTCCGGAGAAACTTGGATAACTAAAGTATCAGAACTTTTTGATATTCATCTTATATCAGTATTGGATGTAGCTATGCATAATTAAAAAAAATCCAAAGTTTTTAATTTATCTTGAAATATGTGGGTTAACACATACGAAAAGATCAATTTTTTTTCCAGTAAATGCTATTTTAGTTAAGTTTAGCCTCTTTTATGTTGTTTAAAATAACTAACCACATTAAAAATTTATTCTAATGTATCATAAATTAATTTTCATGGTACATGAGAATCAGTTATAACTTTCCAACGAGTAATTTAATGAAACTTCATATACCATGTAAATTCAAGAACTAAACTCTATGAAATCTCTATATATATTGGAGAAATTGGAGTAACAAAGGTGTCATACATCCTTGATATTCATCCTATATTTGTGTTGGATGCATCTATGCATTAAAAGAAAAGTAATGTATTTTATAATTTATCTTGAAATTTGTGGGTTAACACCTAAAATATCGAGTTTTCTAATAAATAATATTTACTGAAGTTTAAGCTCTTTCATGTTGACTAAAAGGTACCTAATCACATTATACATTTATATTGTTGTATGTTAAACATATTTTCATGGTGCATAGATATTGTTTCTAATATTTTAATAAGTAATTTAATAAAATTTCATATTCCACTTAAGTCAGCTGACTAACCTTTATAAAATCTGTAACTTATGGTGAACGGGGACAAATAAGGTCTTAAACTCTTTAATTTTCATCACATGTCATTGCATGATGAAGTTATGCATTCAAACAAAATATCATATTTTCTAATTTATCTTATGGAAAGATCAAGTTTTTTTCGAATAAATGTTATATATACTAAAGTTTAGCCTCAATAATATTTTTTTTTTTAAAAACACCTAACCAAGATCTAATACATATTAATGTGTGCTAAATTTATTTTCATGGTACACGCGCATCATTTGCAACGAATAATTTTTTATACTTTATATACCACCTAATAAGTAGACTAACCCCTATAAAATTTTTATTTTTTAGAGAAACGGGAAAACCTAAGGTCTCAAACTCCATACTATTTTCAACACATGATGCATCTATGCATTAAAACAAAAATACCATATATTCTAATTTATCTTGAAATATGTAGGATAACCCCTACGAAAGATTGAATTTTTCTATAAATACTATCTATACTATTTATTCTATTTAGTGTTGTTTATAAATACATAACCACACTCCAAATTTATATATATGTATACTAAACATATTTTCATGGTACATGGACATCATTTCTAATTTTCCAATAAGTAATTTATTTAAACTTCACATATCACCTAATAAGTAGACTAACCCATATAAATACTTTATTTCTGTAGTAACGGGAACACCTAATACATCAAACCTCTTTAATCTCCATATTATGTCATGATGCATTCAGTAAAATAAAAATACCATATTTTTTAACTTTTCATGAAATATATGACCATTCAAAAAGATCAAGTTTTCAGATAAATATTATATATAGACCTCCTCAGTTTTGTTTAAAAATACCTAACCACATTCAAAATTCATATTAATGTACTAAAATTATGTTCTTGGTACATATGCATCAATTTTCATTTTCAACCGAGGAATTTATTAAAACTCCATATACCACCAAAATCAGTGAACTAAACTCTATTTTCTAAAGAAACTTGGACAACTAAGGTATCATAACTCTTTCATATTCATCCTATATTAGTTCTGGATGCAGCTATGCATAAATCCAAAAATTTCATATTTTTAATTTATCTTGAAATCTATGGGTTAACCCTTAAGAAAAAATCGAGATTTTTCCAATAAATGCTATTTGTACTTAAGTTTAGTCTCTTTAGTGTTGTTTAAAATATTTAACCACATTAAAAATTTACACTAATATATCCTAAATTTATTCAGTTATAATTTTCCAACGAGTAATTTAATAAAACTTCATATACCATGTAAATCAAAGAACTAAACCCTAGGAAATCTCTCTATATATACATATATATATTTTAGAGAAATTGGAACAACAAAAGTGTCAGACATCCTTGATATTCATCCTATATTTGTGTTTGATGCATCTATGCATTAAAAGAAAAGTACTGTATTTTATAATTTATCTTGAAATATGTGGGTTAACACTTACAAAAAGATCGAGTTTTCTGATAAATAATATTTACTGAAGTTTAAGCTCTTTCATGTTAACTAAAAAGTACCTAATCACATTATACATTTATATTAATGTATGTTAAACTTATTTTCATGGTGCATGGATATTGTTTCTAATATTTTAATGAGTAATTTA